TGATGTTGAGATCAGGGTTGTGTGGGGGCCAAACCATCACTTCCAGGACTCCTTGTTCTTCTTTAAGCTGAAGATAGTTCTTAATGACATTAGCTGTATGATTGGCGTCATTGTCCTACTGCAGAATAAATTTGGGGCTGATCACATACCTGTCTGATGGTATGGCATGATGGATAAGTATCTGCTTGTATTTCTAAGCATTGAGCAAACCACTGATCATCACCAAATCTCAAACTCCATTTGCAAAAATGCAGCCCCAGACTTGCAAACTCCACCATGCTTCACTGTTGCTGCAGGCACTCATTATTGTACCGCTCTCCATCCCTTTGGCGAACATACTGCCTCCTGCTACAGACAAATTTTGACTCATCAGTCCAGAGCACCTGCTGCCATTTTTCTGCAGCCAAGTTCCTTTGTTTTTGTGCATAGTTGAATCACTTAGCCTTGTTTCCACATCTGAGGTATGGCGTTTTGGCCGCAATTCTTCCATGAAGACCACTTCTGACCAGACTTCTCTGGAAAGTAGATGGGTGTACCTGAGTCCCACTGGTTTCGGCACTGATTGGCTAGGAATTCAGCTTCACTTGTTGGTAGGCAGCCTGGCTTCCTGACCAATCAGGAACCTGGGAAGTGGGTCATTACATGCCGCTCAGCTTCATGATTGATTAGGAAGCCAGGGTGCCTAGCAACAAGTGAAGCTGGCTTCCTAGCCAATCAGGAAGCCAGGAGACGGATCATAACCCACCGCCCAGCTTCCTGATTGGAAAAGAAGCCGGCTCCATGTTCCCTTGGCACTGCCGGTCAGAGGGAGAGCTCCCTCTGACCAGAAGTTCCAGTATCGGAGGTAAGTATCAGAGCATTTGTGTGAGCCCAAATACTCGGTATCGGCACCGATACTAGTATCGGTATCAAGGCATCCGTACTGAAGACCTCTGTGTGCCTACTTAATCTTATATAATATATCTTATATATCGCTCACTAGCCAACCAGAAAGCTTGGAGGCTTCCTGATTGGCTAGGAAGTCGGCTTCACTTGTTGATAGGCAGTCTGGCTTCCTGACCAATCAGGAAGCTGGATGTCACCTCATGACCCGCCGACTGGCTTCCTGATTGGTTGGGAAGCCAGGCAGCCTCGGCAAGTGAGCCCGATGTTCTTTCGATAGAACACTGGCTTCCCATGCAATCAGGAAGCCAGGCAACAGGTCATGATCCCCCGCCCGACTTCCTAAAAATCAGTGCACACGGCACCAGTATCAGTACTCGGTATTGGCAAGTACGGGAAAAAATATCGGTACTTGATACCGAAAAAACGGTATCTGTGCATCCCAAATCTTCAGGCGAGAGTAAACGCTTCTCCAGGCCAGAAAGGCAGGCTGCAACCTGCCGAAATATCTCGCTCTCTCTCTCTCGCTCCTTTCTCTCTCCTCTCTTTCTTCTCTCTCTCTCTCTCTCTCTCTCTCAACTAATGAGACAGACATGTATGCTTATTCATGTCTCTCTTAAAGGTTGTTTGAGCCTGTGCAAAGAGCAGTGATTTAAAACTGTTACAACGGTAGTATAACCCAAATGGTTACTACAAGTTACTGCACTTTGCACATATTCATTGCTTTTTGTATTGCCTTACCGATTAGGTCAGATTATCAATTATAGTTGAACACGAAATTTAAAGCAACCCAAAAATAATTCCTGCTTAGAAACCACTACATTCTTTTTTCCTTCTGTGATTTTCCCTTTTTTATCCTTGTGATAATTTTGCACTCTTACCTGCTCCAGCACAAGACACAAATTGCCAGTGGAAGATACAGATACCACAGTGTGTGTGCTGCAGCACAAGCTCGGCAAAAAATTCATTCAAACATATTGCGCCAACTCAATTGTCTAATATTATCCCAAAACTGTTTAGTGCTTTAGTGCTTTGAAAATGTGCATTCCCCCTACCATTTCATTTCAATAATTTAACTGTTAAAATCACTGTGAATGGTACTGAAGAAGTCTGTTTACTTTTTTGATAAATATCATTGCCTCTAATAAATATATTCTGAAGTAACCCGGAAAGGTTTTTTATATAAATGAAAAGGAATACAGATGCGGGAGTGATTTTTTTTATTATTCTTAAATCTGGGATGCTTTAAAAACTAGCTCATTGTGCTTGCTTCATAATGGAGCTACTGCATGGAAATGTTTTTGACTTTTACGGTCTCCTTAGGCTGGGTTCACACCTAGGCGTATCGAATATGCGCGTTTATCGCGCGTTTCATGCCACGCATTTTTACCGTGATTCTCGGTAAAAAAAACGCGCAACAAACGCGCATTTCCGAGGGCTACCTGGCTGTATCCCAATGGATACGCGCGGCAAATACGCCCCAAAGAAGCTCCTGTACTTCTTTGGGCGTAGGGCGTTTTGCAGCGCGTTCCTATGCGCTGTAAAACGCCCAGGTGGGAACCATGCCTATAGGCAATCATTGGTTTTCACATGTTGAGCGTTTTACAGAGCGTAGGAACGCGCTGTAAAACGCCCAGGTGTGAACCAGGCTTTATAGTAACAGACAACAGAGTATTATTCAGCTGCATAGAATGCACTAGTCTGGGTGGGAAATAATAGCATGAAAAAAAGGAAGTATAGTTTCTAGTATTCTCTTACTGGTTTTCGCAGTTGTCTGTTCACTGTGGCTCATTTACCAAAGGAGTATATTCACTTTGCAAGGCGATTTTCAGTTAGCTTGGTGAAGGAAGTGAAGCTGTGCTCACTTATATCATCCAATAATTTGCACCAAAAATCTTTTTTTAATGTATTCATTTTATTTAATTCTGTATTCTTTGCTTTGTAAATTAAAATTCCTATGCAAAGTGAAATTTCAATTTACAAGGTGAACACCTTCTACTCCTTCCCCTTTGCTGCATTTTTAGTGCACATCCTTTGACTGCTATCAGCTGCACAAAAATTAAAGGAGAATTATGGGGAGAGTCAAATACACTCATCCCCATAATTAGAGTCGATGTGAGACACTGAAGCGGTTACACGTCAGCTCTTTTGATCAGCTCCCTGCAGGGATTCCCCCCTCTCCTCTCCGTTCCTCCAGCGCTGACTGGAGGAAGAGATGGGAGAGGGTGTGAGCACAGCTGACTCTGCCTCCAGAGAGGCAGAGCCAGCTGTCAATCAGGCATGTGTAGATCCCGGCATCTAGTGGGCAATAGCCCGCTATATGTTGAGTTATGGGTCACATGAGGACATTAGTAAATGCCCTCTTGTGACCCTAGAGAGATCTATGACAAAAAAAGTTTGGCCTATAGTTCTCTTTTAAGGCTATATGCTGTGCAGATGCTGTTCGCACAGCAATAGTGCTCCTAGATGGCACTGATGACTATAGGCCAGGTGGAAATGTATAAATGAACCTGCAAGAGTCTCTGTGTCTTAGTTTTGTCGACCATGGTCTATAACCTCTCAGCTTCTGTTTACTTCATACTGTGGTGTTGAAAAAGTTGTTTCTGTATGCCACTAGAGGGCACTGCTAGGAAATGGACTTTGCACTAGGTTGTTTAAGCTGCCCATCTCCCAACTACTCCCTCTAAAGGTGCTCATACACCTTACAATTATCTGCAGATTTTCTGTGGTCAGATGGAAAAAGTGCAACAGATTGGCCCAGGTGGAGATTACTCCATCCACACAGTTCAGTGTAGATGGAGGAATCTGTTGCACCTTTTCCATCTGACCACAGAAAATCTGCAGATAATTGTAAGGTGCATGGCCAGCTTCACGCTTTTTCAGCAGTACAGCAAGAACAAAACAAGTCCTGAGACCCTAGGTCATGGTGGACAAAATACGCTCATCTCTTTAACTAAGGTACAGGGTACAGCTATTTTTCATGCAGTCTACAAAAATTACAGGTAAAAAGTCTTTTCAGTCTCTGAAAGTATGCTTTTACTGATGGTTTGACAGCGACATTAAAATACTTACAATTCTGAAACCAAAGCTTTTCCATTGCTCAGAAAACTTGAACTACTCATTCTCAAAAAAATGTCCTAAGCTAACAAAAGAGAAAACATAAAAAAAAAATATGTTGATGCTTAAACACGAGGCATGTTTCTAATTATATTTTAAGTCGGTTATGTATTATTTTAATTTGGTGATGTATTAGGCATCATAATTGTTTTGATCTATTAGAATTGTGTTTTACTTTTTTCTTCCATGTAAGGGCTCACACTCGTCTAAGCCTGTGTTTAATGGTTCCTTATGTGTTTATTTTATAAAGAATACGGCTCTTGATGGTGCTAGTGTTTACAGACATTTTGCTGACCACAGGTTGTACCTATCCACAGTGTGCTCAGAGATCAGGAAGCTGAGAGAACTGAATTTACCAGACACAACAATTTCTTTATTTGCAGACCCATGTGCCCTGCAAAACTGCAGGTACATTTCTTCTGTGCGAATGGGGGCAAAAACAAATATTATTCATATATTTTGTTTAAAGTCAAATGTAACATCAGGAAAATACCGCAAAAATAAGTATTTCTTTTTTTATGGTGGTTATAATGCAGTATTTTCCTGATATTAAATTCGACTTGGAAAGAAAATATATGAATAACTTTCCTCTTTGCCTCTATTCACATAGATCGAACATAAATGCAGTTTCAGAAGACGGAAGGCTCTGCAATTTTTTTTATGAAAGCACGCCTAAGTGTCGTTCGCAAAGGTGTATGAAGGAAGGACAGTTCTTTTTGCCTATAACAAGCAGTCAAAGGGTCCTTCTGTTCATGTTTCCTTTGCACTGTGGAAAACTAAAATGGAGAATCTGCTTGCTATTGACAAAATACATATACTGTATAGGCTTATGTGTCTGAATGAGCAAAAACGTACTGTCATAATCACAGGCGCAATGTCATTTAAATATATCTTTAGCTTTTTCCTTAAATAATTCTCACTTTTTTATATAAAATACTCATGATTAGGGATGAAAATGTTGTTTTACAATTTAACAATAGTTTGCAAATTTTATCTTTCAGGTATTGTTTCAAAATCCTTTGAATGTCGACTGAAAGGATTAGGTGCAAACTTTGTGGAAACAACTAGTCCATTTACTGCATCCTCTCCATCGGAGCCTTCGCCGGCTAAAGAAAACATCCGAAGCAGCAAAAAGCAAAGCCATCCAACTGAACAAGTTCAGCAGGTCATTATCATTCAGGGATTTTCTGAGGAGTATGATGGAAATATCACAATCAATTCTTCTGTTGAGGAAACTGCAGCAGCTACTCTCCAAACATTGGCTATGGCAAGTCAAGTGGCAAGAGTAGTACACATTACTGAGGATGGCCAGGTGATTGCCACTGATCAAGCCACACACATGGGAAGCATCATTCCAGGAAATATCCTTAGTGAGCAGCTGTCAGAAAGAGCAACCCAGGTTGTTGTGGTTGAAGCTCCAATGGAAGAAACAGAAATAGAGGAGTCTGTTGCTATAGAGACTGTAACTGACTCAAGTGGTAATGTAGTACAACAAGTAATGACCCAGGGTATTTTGGATGTATCACAAACAGTTCATGCATCTGATTCTTCTTCAGCTCTAGATGCACTTCTATGTGCTGTAACAGAACTGGGAAATGGAGAAGGAAGCAGGCAACAAAGCACAGAAAACTCAACAATAGAGGAGTCATTGGTGAGGATGACGAGAGAGCAGTGTGCTGAAACTAGTGAAGGGGAGATTCAGATGTTTGAGGAGGTACATGAAAGTGAACACGAACTTGAGCCGATAGGGGTTGTCAGACAAATCATGCATTCTTCAGGCTTTGTCACCTCCCAGGATTCTGCTTTCAAGAATATGGTCCAGGGCGTACTACAGTTTGCAATGTGTAATTCAGCTGCTGCTGATCAACTAATTAAAGAAGGAGTCACTCAAGTCATCCTGAATAATGAAGGAACTGTGCACATGGTCTCTGCAGAAGGTCCTCGAATCATTATGCACAACACAGATGGCCATACAATAAGTCTACCAGAACAACAGATGAGCTTAGTTGAAGGTGAAGATGGGGAAATATCACAGATTATCGTCACTGAAGAGTTGGCTAGAGCCATGGTCCAAAATGTGAATGGGAACTTTGAGGAAGCCACAACACATTATATCGTGACTGAAATTCCACAAGCAGAGAAAGAGTCCAATATATATTCACATACAGTAATAGAAACTGAGGATTCTACTGGCATTTTACATGAAGAAACTGTTGTGGATTCCCAGGTGCCTGTGGAGGACTCCTCACAAGAGATAAACATGGTGGTTTATGCAGAGTGCAGCTCGGAAGACTCCATTTCCAAACCTCATATGGATCAATGAGGCTTTTCAAACTACCCGTAAAGAATCAGAAAATAGTAAACGAAAATTAGACTATATTTTTTCACGTAAAAGATTTTTACAAAATCAATGTATATTTTTAATCCATCAGTTGCGACAAAAATGTCAAATTAAATTGTTAAAGGAAAAAAAAAGTGTTATATGAACTCTTCACGGAAAGAGAATTGCTAGCTGATAAGTAATCCGATAATAGCTTAGTAATTACATTGTTAAGCAGTGCTATATCACTGCCAGGGGCTACTTTACATTACTATCCTGCATTATTCTTACATTATCATTTAAAGTTGTGAAACCTCTGTCATCTTTTCATACAACAGCACTTGGAGAACCGTTTGTGGGCTTTGAGCATTGCTTTCATGTTCATTTCTATATACAATATCAGAGCTTTTATTGATACCTGTCCTTTTTGGAACAAAATATAGGAACCACAAGAGCCTAGAATGTAGTGTTACATATATATTGATGGGGAAAAAAAGGAACTACAGTACTTAAAATGTAATTCCCCAAATCTAAGAGCAAATCTATATCGTTCTTATATTATTTTTGACCTGAGCATAAAGTCTTTGTCATCTCTCTTTACATTTTGCTGTGACAGTACAACACATTCCAGGTGCAACACTGATGGACTACTAGCCACAATAGGCTCAGTTCACTAAGCTATAAGTATTACTTGCTATAACAACTGTTATTTTCAGCAAAGTTCCAATGCGAGCTAAAAATAAAAGCCACTTGGCTGAAATGAATAAACATTATGGCAAATAACTCATAGGTTGCAACTCAGAGAGTTGAGAAGAAAGAAAAAGGCTGCACTCCTTGAATCTGCCGAATCGCACGTTTATTCACATCGTCACGCCTCGTTCACATTCATAAACCCCAACCGGCTTCAAGCTGCCTCTAACGCTTCTCACCCCTTGGGCTTAATCCCAGTGATATATTGATAGTTGAGATATGATTAGAATAAATCACTCTGCTGGTAAGGAGCCTTACTTCTTGCCTAACTGAACATGTACTCTGGTTATCTGCACACCTTATCTGTTCACCCCAATGCAAGAAATAGAAAAAGAAAAGTCTCTATAAGCTTTAAATATATTCATCTACATGGTCTTCTGTCTTCTGTGCCATGTCCTCCTTTAAATATGAACCTCATCTAAAGTACATTTTGTGGAGTGTGTTATATCCCACATTTTATTTGTAGGCCTTTCAGCCCCCAAATAATGTACTACATTATTATAGCCTGGTGTGAGGCCATAATAATGGCATTTCGCCACTCCAGTTCCATGTTGAAATTATTTCAACCATAAGGAAACATTTTAAAAGGTCTGCTACAGTGGTTGAAAGGGACAGGGAAGCTGTACAACACCCCGAACCTCTCTTGTTGGACTTGACTCTCTTGTCCGTGACTTCATTGGAGACATTTTCCATCACAGTTATAAGGAGTAAGGGGATATCTCTCCAGTCGGAACACAGGCTGTAACAAAATAGACCTGTTTCAGTAGAAAAAAAATCTCTGCCGGATTTTTATTATCATCTCTGTCTTCCTGCCATGGCGACAAATGCTTTCTTATTTCTTGTCCTGCTGTGACAAGCTATTAGAGGGACAGGAAGTGAGGTAAACTATTCCAAACAGGTTTATGGACAGCAGTAGGAACTTGACAGAAATATTTACTCTTTCCAAGTCCGCTGTTGTTGTTTCTGCCAGGTCTTGGGCTAATTTCTTGGTGTAACATAGGGGTTTGCGGCCTGGGCATATCAATGCTTTCCTAAGCCGTGAATATAAAAGTGTCTGCACTTATTTTAACTAAACAAACGATATCCACTTGCCATAAATTAACCAGATCCATGCCGTATTTCAGACCGGAGGGATTATTTATTTCATTTTCTTGTAGCATTATAACATGAAGACTTGAAAACTGGTCTAATGCTGACTCCAACAAGTAAATGTTAAGAGTGATTGCATAAAAAGAATGTGCCACATTCTACAATGATTTATATGACCACTCCACAAAAGACTAAAATTTAAGTTGAATCACCAGCTTTCTTCTCATACCTCTAAGCTCACAATGGTGTCAACTGGACTCCCAGTTTATTTTTGTACATAATGGAGCAAAAATAATTTGATTTCATACTTAGTAAGAGCTGATTGGACTGGGAAATTTAGTGGAGGCAACTTGCCACAGCAGTCCACAAGACTATAAGATACGACATGATAAAAGCTGTCAGTAGAAGATTTTGCTATTGCTAGCAGTGATGCAAAAAAAGAAATTTTTTATTGTATTCTTCATATTTATCAGTAAATCCTTATGCCTTTCCATGTATTAGAGTACGAATAATAGGGTTGCTTTTTGAAAAACAACAATTGCCTTCTCCCAATAAAATAAACTACTCGTGGGCTCAGAGCCTACTAACCCACAATATAAAATCGCAGTCCTTCTGTTGGTGGGCAGGAGGGGAATGCGTAAAAACTCCTACTGCCCTCCCACAATGCAGTGCTAGATGCCAGCCAGTGACCAGGCCCAAGCACATTTACTTAAGGAACGGGGTAGACATACCACCATCTCAGGTATGTTTAGCAGCAGGCATTGGGATGACACCTGGGAGTGCTAAGTTAGTTAAAGTGACATTAAACCCTCAGATTTTTTAACATAAACCAATACTGTAATGTGTGCCTTACTGTAATCCATGGTTGTTTCCCTTCTCTTTGCTGCTCTTCCTTTTAAATCCTCATGTCTTCTCATGCTGGGGGAGAACTTCCCTTTGCAGCTCAGTGTCTCTTGCTGTAGTGCTGGCTCAGGTTACAAACGTTCACACAGACACCATATATCCATTTCTGAGACAAGGCAGTCTGCTGCAAAACAGAAGTTCTGCAGAGCATGAGAACAGATACAGATTTAAAAGGAAGAGCAGCAAAGAGAAGGGAAACAACCAAGGATTACAGTAAGGCGCACGTTACAGTATTGTTTTATGTTAAAAAATCTGAGGGTTTAATGTCACTTTAAGGCATCGGTGGTCATTGTTTTTTTCTTTCCCATTCCTGTGGGGGGTTTTTGTCATTCGTGGCAAGTAACAGAAATAGTAGTATATAGCGACTGCACCTTTAAAATGGAATGTTTATAATATAAACCTCTGGTCATATGTTGAATTTTATCATTTCACCCCAGGATGAATAGACCAGTCAGGTCTGGTTAATGACACACGTTATTTATGTAGGGTCTGTGGATGACTAAATACAAAGACTTAGTGGTGTGATATGGATGTCCTTACAGAGTGTTGCAATCAATGATAATTTCACAATCTTTAAACAAACTCTCATTCATTTCTCTATCCATAAGAATTGTGGAAAGATTATTTTCAAAGTTCACAACACAGGCAAACCTTAGCATTTTTCTATACGAGCAGATCTTGATGGGCTGCAAGTCCTCTAATGTAAACAACCAGCAAGTGTTTCTAAACTGTTAGAAATGACTGAAACATGACTTTAGATTCTTTGTTGTGATCTTTGAGAATGAATAACTTCACACTAAAAGCCTCTAGAGAGGTTAAGAGCTTTTAACGCTCTTTTATTGCTTGTTAAGAATATATAGTTTAATGTCCATAGTCTGGGCACATAGGTGCACTTTAGGAATATTAAACAATGTCCACAGTGTTTGTTGAAGCTTGTTGGCTGCCAAGGTTTGAGGAAACAAGATTTCATATTAGACATTTTCTGGTACCTCCTGGGTACCTTTTTCTGCAACTGCACAGCAAGACTGCACAGCAAGACTAAAAGGTGTAACTATTAATAGAATAGTTAAGAACCAACAGCCAAAATGGCAATGGCCATCTATCCGATATGTGATATTATTACTACATGTGTTAGATGCATTTTGTTTTTCAGTATGTTGGTTTTGTATGAACACGCCATTGTAATGATGGCCAGAATAGGGCTTATGAAAAGAAGCAAAACATTTTTTTTTAACTTGAATGTTAAACAAAAACAAAATCGACCTGGTTTCTAGAGCCATGTCCTCCATTTTCTATACTCCAATTGTCATTAATCAGCCCCATTGTGAGTTGGTTTGAGTTTTGTTGATTGCTCTTAGCTGTATGTTTTCGTTGATAATATAACCTGCTGATAGCATAATAAGCCACTCTTGCGTTTTATATTGTTGTTATTCCACTTGCGAAAGCTGTTTAAATACTCTTCAAAGGTCTTTAAGGATTGTAAAATTCTGATATAGAATGGTTTTTTTTTGTATAGTTCCAAATAAAAATAAAATTGAATAAACCTGTGTTTTAACTGTTTAAAAGCATTTCTCTTTATCTGTATTCTATATTCTGTCCATTCCTGATAGCCATGAAAATGTTTTCAATGCTAGAAAATAAATAGGATCTCACAAAGCATTACAGTCTTTACAGGCTGCTAATGTTTTACAAGTACCAGAAATCTCATGCAAGATAGGTTTTCCCATCATTCAGCCTAGCAATACACAACGTTCCTAGCAATATGTTTATCTGTCAGATAAAGAAGAGTCCAGTTAAGCAGTGTTTACATCTAACCGACCACACTGAAAAACCTCGGCAAAATTTACAGAATTTTTTTTCTGTTAAACCATATAGGGGGTTCATGTATACTCTGCAGAGCTATGCACACTGCTGCCTGTTCATGAAATGCAAACTGAGGTATGGAGCCTCTGGTGCTCTGCTGAGTTCTCTCTGCTTATTATTCTGAGTATTCTGGGTGTCTTGTGTGGTGTTTCTGGGTGTCTGCTTTACATAATTTTTCTAATTTGTATATCAGTCCTCCCAGATTAAAAAAAAATGTTTATGGGTTATATTTAAACTTTTCAATAGCTCCTCCATTACTTAAATCTGATATAATAAAATCCCAACCCCATCTAAAATGTCTGGTTTTTTTGGGGGGGTTTGTTTTTGTTTTTTCTCAGTTAATAGTTCTGTCAAGTTTTTATTGTTTCCCATGAGCTGCCCAACACGGAAGACTTCACCACAATTCCTGTGCCTGTGACAACAGTGAAGAACAAGTGTAGTTATCACTGGGACAATAAGACACAGGTAGTAATAATAATAACCTGAAAGAGGTTCTAACATTTCCAATTTTACTGAAACAAAGGGATTTAATTGCAGTAAGGGTTCACACTGGAAACACATCCTACCATCCAGATGGTTCTGAATCTCTAATGCTATTGTTACTGTGATGTTTGGGGATATTGGCACATATGGTGAGAACTTAAGGATGCATCCACCTTGGATGCCCTCGCAGGGGTTGTTCAGCATAACATCCATGCAAATGTTCATACATCTACCTTGGATGCCCTCGCAGGGGTTGTTCAGCATAACATCCATGCAATACTTGCAATATAACAAGTTTAGGCTCCTGGCTTCCACTTTAAACATTACCACTTCTGACCCACTGGTCCTC